TTGCTCATATCTCGGAGGCAAAATGAGCAAGAACGCTCATTTGTACACCATTCTAGAGATAAATAAATGGCCTTTTTAGAAAGTGAACCATCGATTGGGAAATGTTGGCAGTTCTCTCAAAAAGGCTTGAAATCAAGAAGTTTTAGATTTGCGTGGTTTTTTTGAGTTGCAAAATCCACTTGAACATGACCCTGCTTTTTTCGAAGTTTCTCAAGAACCATTCGAGCCACAGAATTCGTTTCGGCATCGTTGGATAGAGAATTGAATGGGGGTGTCCCCTGGATCCGCCCTTGATCACTCCTCATGTCGCTTACCGCTCCACTAAACGAATGCTGGCGGATCTTCTCCACAGTCACTCCCAGGAAGCTCTTGGATGTGTCGGTGGTGTGACCAGGCATGCTTTGCCTAGTCACGCTGCTTCTAGACTTGTCGTGACTCGCCCCAGAAATGGAAAGTCGGGGCTTGGCGCCTCCTTGACCAGCAATACTCTGGCGTTGCTTCTCCTCCCAGCTCTTCAGAGAGTTTTCCAGGGCTCTGTTCCTGCCCAGCATTTGCATGCGGTTTTTGTGCAGGATTCGTATAATGCCCGGAGGTTGAATCCAGGCTTCGCCATCCACTTGTATCGGAACTCCTTCGTCGCCTATAATAAAAAACCAGTTAGGATGTAAATGAAGAAAATCTGGCTAGGCCTACCTAGGATGTTGATTTGGATGCTCTGGCATTGTGCGATGCGATGATGTTGGAACTTCATCATTCGAGATGCCGCCATCTGCATGGACCCGAAGACCGCAACCACTTCCAGAATCTTGTCGTCGAAGGAGGGGGCTATGAACACGTCGTCCATCTTGGAACCGCCCCAGAAATTGATGCCTCCCATAAATCTACGAAGAGGAGGAGGAATTTGCGTTTCTGCACATTTGCGTGTTTTTTTTGCACTACCTTGGAATATTCAGAATTACTATTCCTTGTAGGCTGGGCAGGGGGATTCTTTGCCCATCGCATTCCAGCTGCACGCGTTGTTCGAGGTTCTTAAAGGTGCGCTGAAGCAGCTCTTTACCGCCCAGCACTCCGTACCAGAGGTAGTTTTTGGCTCTGGATCTGCACTTTTCTGGATGCTCTACAGAATAAAAACAAACATCTATCTGTATTCACTTTATTATTTATTCGTTTATTAGTAGATTACCTTCGCGTTTATGGTGAAAATCCAGGGAAATTTTCGCATCGATCCCAATGCCGAAATAGTTGTTCATCACGCATCTTTCGTAGAATCCTTCCATTAACGTTTCTTCCGGGTCCATTAAGGGACTCACTGCTGCACACAGAGTGTCCGCATTGGCCAGAAGGCATTTGCTGATAAATCCTCCACTTGTGGTCACATCTGAAATTAATTGCTTGTAATTTTCCTTCAAAAGATCTATTGACTCTGCTGCGGTTGAAGACCTAGTTTTAAATAAAAAAATAAATATATGCCAGCCTGCGACTTACTGGGCCACGATGGCAACCGCACCAGAGGATTAATGATGGGCAACTTGCGCTTCTTCTTTGCCTCCTTATCCTCGGGCTTCTTCTCCTTTTTCTCGCCACTCTCGTGGTAGAATTTGGTGGAGGCTGCAGCGGTAGCGGCCAGAGCTGCAGCATCTTGGGGATTCAACATGCTGCAGCAGGAGATTCGACGCGTTGCGGCTGGGGAACGCGTTGCGGATGGGTCGTGATCCACCTGGCAAAAGACACGTTATTGGGGCAGCACACAAACGCATCTCTATCTGGGGGCCCTCACTCGGAAATATTCCAGAGAAGTTCCAAAGATGGAGAAAAGTCGGACAGACAGTTTGAACTGGTTTTGTTTGCGGGGGCGTTTGTCGTAAAAAAAGCGTACGCCTTAACGAAGGCAAATAATCGAATCAGATGCATAAAACGGTCTTTTTGCTTTCACGCCGGATTATTTGCGTTAAGTATTTTTTTAAATCTAAGTTTATTCCATTTTTTACTCTTCAATATACAGGGTGATTCAAAATTGGTGTCGTTCGTCTGGAGATTTTGTCTGGGGTTGTTTTTGGAATATAGAAAACATACTTAAAAACTAGCATGTTTTTGCGACTGCTCTTGTGTATGTTGTTCATGAACGTCTGCTACAACTTGTATCTGAATAGGACTAAAAAATCAATTAATTTTGGTGATTGGAAGACGTTATATCTGTTTAAAATATACGCTAAAACGAGGAAGAGCTATAGAGACAGGATACACTCGACACATTATATGTATACATAATGTAAGCCATCGCGCGTATGTTCAATAAAAAAATTCTAACTGAACTAGTCCAAGGCTAAAAAAACTAAACTAAATTGAGAACATTTAAT